AAACTGAACGGACAATGAATAGCGGTGCGCACCAGGGTAGCCGATGCGATAATGTGTTTTGTGCACTTTCATCCAGCGAACGTTTGCCTGCTAAAGACTTTCAGTGCTTTGCACTTGGTCTGTGCAAAAATAGTCGGAATATTGTCTGGTTCCTAGGCTGGGGAATTTCCCACTAAAACCTGGGTGGAAAAGGACACCTTTCCAAAATCAATCCCCTGACTTCCTGGCTTTCGGGTGATTTTCGCGCCAAAACTTTTGCAGGTCGCAGTGAGGTTTCGGCATACTTGGGCACTAAATTTGAGTTTGTGAGGCCCTTACATAGGCAGGAAAAATCCTCCTGAAGTTTTCAGCCTGTTACCTCTTCTGGCTCGCGGGTAATAGCTTCCCTGCAAGAGGCTTTACGTTGAGACTCTGGTGTGTTTTAGTTTACGGGGTCGTATGTGGGCAGGGTGTAGTACTCTAAAATTTCAGCTTCCGAGCTTTCGTGATTCCCAAGATAATGATATTTCTCTGCAAAACTTTCACAAGGTTACAGGTGGTACCCAGACATAGGGGAAGGCTGAATTTAAAGTTACAGAGCTGTACTTGGGCAGAGGACATACTGTAAAATTTGAGCTTTCCCAGCTTTTTTAGTTTAGTAGTTAATAATTTCCTCTCCAAAACTTTCACGGAGCTGTATGTAATGCTCTGGTGCACGGGCAGGCTGAATTTGAATCTGCGAGGCTGTGCATGGACAAGGGACATTTTAAAATTGCAGCTTCCCGTGGTAATTTGCCCGCCAAAATTTCCATGGGGCGTACGCGTTGCCTGCGGGCACGGGAAGAGTGAATTTAAATTTGCTGAGTTACGCATGGGCGTCAAACATCCTGCAAAATTCTTAGCTTCCTACCTTTCGTGGTTCCCAAGTTGAAAGTTGCGGACAAGATGCATCAGACACACACAGACAGCCGCATGGCAATTTGCGTTTTGTGCAGCTGTTGCACAGCAAGAAGGTTGTATAAAAATCAAGGAAGTTGTACTTTCTGCTGGCGTGTGCTGGTCACTTCTGGGATTTTGTGTGACATGTGCCTGTGATTACTTGGTCATTTAGGTCAACAACGGTCAGCTCGAAGGACATTTGGTGCACATAGCATCATTAGTTTGGCTTCTGTTTTCCAGAATTCCTGAGTAATATAATTTTAACATACAAAGAATTCCCTTCCCACTTGCTGTTTCCTTTAGTCGTTTAGCGATGTATATGCATGGAGCATCAAAACCGCCCGGAGCGTTGTTGTTAAACGACTTTGGAGTACTTCGCCGATCATTTTTCATCAAATTTTGTTTGGGGGGCCACTACAAATGAGTATATTCGAAAACAAAAATCAATATACAGCAGCGCACCACAAACAGGCAATTACTAGAACTCGGCTCGGCTCGGTCAGGTTCATACAGCATCTATGGATGACTTTTTTTGGGCGTCGTTGCCCCGCTGCTACGGAGGGCACTGGATGGCGCAGGTGTGGTGATGGTGGTGGCGGTAGTGTGGAGTGGGAGTTGTGTGAGGGTACTGAGAACGAGTACGAAAAATATTACCTTAACATGCAAAAGTCAAAAAAATTCGAAACTGAACAGTAAGCAGTGATATCGAGCAGTATACAAATTTTCATTGAATGTTGAAACTTTAAGCGGATGTCCCCTACTCAAGTAGGAGCAGAATAAGGTGTTTAGAAGCACCCGGACCCACGTACGGGCACGTGGAAATTTTGACGCAGAAATCACTGACCGGAGAAGGAAAAAAGCTAGAAAGCTGAAACTTTTAAGTAATGTTCCCTACTCATTTGTGACCAACAGATTCCAAATTCAGCTTCTTAAAATCGTCCGGTACTCACGTACGGGCACGTGAAAATTTTGATGGGAAAACTGCTGACTCGGGGACGGGAAAAGTTGAAGGTTTAACTTTAAGGGAATATTCCCTACCCATGTGCGGCTAAAGGATTTCAAATTTAACTCTTCTAGT